TTTACCCTCCATATTCTCACCAAGCGTGGAACAAAATGCTCTTGGGGGGGCTGCACCCGCAGCACCGCCGCCGCCGCCGCCACCACCACCACCTCCTCCTCCTGTTGGTTTTCTTGGGATTCCTTCGCCACCACCCCCGCCATTACCACCAGTACTCAGGAGTGGTGCATCTACGCCTAGTTCTGCCTTAAATTCCACGCGTGCTTCCATGCACCTTGGAGCAAACCTTGCAAACCTTTTATCGGCCCGCAAGGATCTTCCTGTCACTCCTAGCACTAAGATGAAACAACTTCAGTGGGACAAACTCCCACAGCAGCAAGTCGCCAAAACGCTGTGGAATCAAGATGAAACACAAAAAGAAAGCGAAATCTTGCAGAAATTGTCATCAGATGGCATCTGGATGGAGATGGAAGAAGACTTCAAAGCAAAGCAGCTTGTAATCAATCTCATGGGTATGAGCGATTTTTGTAACATCCACAAACCCTTCTGATGCGGTTTTTGCAGCCAGACATAAGCATGATGAGCTTAGGAGCGTCCTTGACCCGCAAACAAAGAAACGCATTGGTTAGTTTTTACCTTTGATATTTGCAAGATAATCACGTAACAAGCAATTTCAAGAAATATTAATCCAGCGGGTGAAAAAAATGGAACCAGAAGAAATTGCCAGGAAAATACAACGGTTTGACCAAGATATGTGCACCGAAGTGTTCTTGAGCGAGCTCAAGCCTGTCCTCCCGACGCCAGAACAGGTGAGTGCCTTGTGTTTTGAAGATACACTCGGTCTCATTTAGTCAAGGTTGGCAAACTAAATGTTTACCGCAATTCGGCTCCTGAGGAACTAGCGGGGCTACATCCGTCTGACCGTTTGATGGTCAAGCTGATTCAAATTGATCGATTAGGCCCACGTATTGAGGGAATGTTGTATAAATGCAAGTTTGACGAAACGTGGTCGCTCTTGGATGATGTAAGCTGGTGACACTTTTCAACTCATAGCCCATATTTACAGAGAATTCAAGGGTACTCGAAAGCTTGAAGAAGCCGGCGAAGCATTATTGCACGCCAAACATTTCAAAGAAGTCCTCAATGTCAGTATAACAC